GAATTGTATGAAATAAGTGTGGGTAGGGGTCGGAAAAGGATTTTCAAGCATAAAAGTAATTAGAAAAATGCTAGAAATTTAAAAAAAAAATTATAAAGACTTGCAAAAATAGTCTAATAAATCTAGTCATTTCAAAATTCGATATTATTGCATTTGGGCTAGTTTTCTAGTGTTATGAGGGATGATTCGATGCGAACTCTAAGATTTAGTGGAACCAATTTGTTATAATGTATTTGTGGCTTCCCAGTCTTAGTGAAATCGTGAGACAAAAACGTAACCTTGTGTAGTTTGAGGGACATAATATGTTTAGCATCGCGTACTAGAAATGTATCAAGGAGAGCTTATGTAGTCATTTCACTTTAGACTAATACCTCTAACTAATAAGGGTTGAAATTGAGTTCCCTTGCTTAAGCATATGTTTTTCTTTTTAGGATTTTTTAGTTTTGAGTGAAAAAAATGAGCATGAAAAAAAAAATAGAAATAAAAAATACAATAAGGCATATGTATACTTGGGAGCTTAACCAAAAACTACCTTGAGGTTAAGAAAGTTTTATGGGGATGGATTCATAGGGATGCATAAAATGAATGTCGTTCAAAATAAGTGGGAAGCATTTATAAGGATCGTAATTATTTAGGGCTGGGAGGTAATTAGGATATATTGACACAAATACATGCATTGAGGTGACACATAATTAGTGGGTTAAATTCGGATTGTTTTGTGTGATGTTGGTGGACATGGTTCTGTGTGATATATTAAAAATGAAGTTTTGACTGAGGGCAACCAAAAGACAAGTGTGGGGTATTTCTATATTGCCATATTAATATATATTTTAGGCATTATTTTAATACATTAAGCTATAATTTAGTAAATTGAAAAGATATTTGGTACTTATTAAGTTAAATTCTATTTTGCAGCCAAAAAGGACATTCTTGAAGAAAAATGATTGTAATCGACAAAAATAGGATACTTGGAGGACTGGAGCTGAAGCTAGGAGCTTAAAGGAGAGAAGATCATGCAGAAAGAAGCCCCACGATGTGGTGCTCTGAAGTCCACATCGTGGTAATTAGAAGAATATTGATTCCTTGTGTGAGACTTGAGCTCACGACGTGACATCATATCTCTCACATCGTGACCACATGTCTATAAGATTTCTGCACGGAGAGGTACAAGTTTCCTTGGCGAATACGGGATAATTACTAAGTTCACGTCATGACACCCTTATGGTCACGACGTGAGGACTGATTTTAAGGAAATTATATATATATATATATATATATATATATATATATATATATATATATATCGATCATTATATCGACTTGAGAAGAATACTGGAAACGTAGACGACTTTTGGGACAGAATATATATATATATATATATATATATATATATATATATATATATATATATATATATATATATCGATCATTATATCGACTTGAGAAGAATACTGGAAACCTAGACGACTTTTGGGACAGAATATATATATATATATATATATATATATATATATATATATATATATTATATATATATATATCGATCATTATATCGACTTGAGAAGAATACTGGAAACCTAGACGACTTTTGGGACAGAAAACCTGTGAAAAATAACCTTTGGAAGGTGGAGAAGATTGGAGATCAAGAGTTTAGAAGATTGTAGCAAGATTTCAAATCATACATTCGGTTTTCTTAGATTTGATTATGTCTAGTTTGATTTCTTTTGTGTTTATCTGTTTCTTTTATGCAATTATGAGCTAAATCATTAGACTTTCGTTTAGTAACGATGAACCCTAATACTATGTGTTAGCTTCAACTTTTCATGGATTTTATGAAGTTGGTTTAGATTGTGTTTGATTTATCAATACCTAGCATGTTATTAGTTTCAATCTTGTTGCTTAGATTTCAAGTTTTGTGTAGTTGAATGATCACTTTAATTGCATGAACTTGTTCACCTAGTAGTTTATGAACATTAAATTGCTAGAGATAGTGATTGACCAAATCCTAGATTAGGTAATAAATATAGTAACTTTAATTGTGCTAGAGAACATCATTTGATCATAATTGTGTTTAGTTATTTGCCTTGATCATAGATAATTAATCTAAGATGTATTTTACATAGACAATAATCTTACATAGCTAATTTGGTGTCCACTTGTGTATGATCAATTGATCATTGCATAGTAGTTCATGAATTGTTGAAAACGTTAGGAGATCGGATTTATATTGGCAACCAACTGAATTAATACATGTCTTGAAACTAACCATAGGAAAAAGGGGCATTCAAAGCTAAACGAAAGTTTCTTTATTCTCTTAATTACAATTGTATCTAGTTAGTTGTTTAGTGATTTGAGTAAGTTAAGTTAAATTGATCTTGCAAAATCAGATAAAAACCCCCATTTTAGTTATTGTTCTTAGATTAATTTTAATAAATATTTTATTAGCTAAATATCGTCACATGTGATCGATACCTGACTTATTTTTCTATATTATAAACTTATTATGTTATAAACTTAAATCGGTAGGTATATCTATGCACATCAACAACCATATAGGCGGCTTACCTCGAAGAAAAGAATTTATCAACCCTAATGAAGAGAATATATAAACCTAATGAAATGAATATCTTTGACCCGCGAAGGGAATATCTTTGATCCGCGAAAGGAATATCTTTGACCCGCGAAGGGGATATCTTTAACCAGTGAGAGTAATGTTTACAAAGCGTATTTAATTAAAAATTTTGTTTTTTGTTTAAACGTTGTATGGTATTTAATTTGCGGTGTTTAAACTTGTTAATCTTTGGTTTATTAGTTGGATATATATATATATATATATATATATATATATATATATATATATATATATATATATATATATATATATATATAAAAATTAAAATGGATATCCATCCTAATAACCTTATCTTTTTTAAAATTATTTTAGGAGAAATCTACATGTTCTTAAATATTTGCAAATAATCATAAATTTTAAAAATTAAGTTTTTCAAATACCTTTTTTTTATTTTCAAAATGTTTTTTCTCTCGTATTCTTATCTATCATCTTCTTCACAAATCTTTGTTTTTAATGAAGAACTAAGATGCCAACGGCATCCCAGTTCCTATACCGAAAAGTTTGAAAATAGATTTAGATGTTTTAGTTATGTTAGTGAAGTATATAAGATAAGTAGATAAACCATATAAAAAGTTGTAGAATAATTTACTACATTATAACATTAGTTTGGATATTAGATATGAACTAGCTTTTTGCCCGGCACAGTAGGTATAAAATACACATGAAGCCAACAGCCAAGTTCCAGTGAGGATGCGCATAGGAGATTAGGAAATTATTTATAGACAATAGGTATAAAATACACAAGAAGCCAACGACCAAGTTCCACTACGAAGTGTATAGGAGATTAGACACAAAAAAAAGGAACATGGAATCTACAAACTAGCTAAAGCCAGACAACGACCAAGTTCTACTGAATGATGAGGATATTAAAAATAAGTGAGGTAGATATTTCCAATCCCTATATAATTATATAGTCGTTTATTCGCAAGAGACACGGGTGTAAAAAGCTTTCCTGGGACGCCCCAGACGGAAGATCATGTTTCTTGCTTAAGGATCAGTGGCAGCGAGGAAGTGAAGAGGGCTTTGCCACTTTGGTGAAGATAGGTAGGAACAAATTCTTAGGCTCGGATCAACATCCTATTATGGCATGGAAGTCTCTCGGGGAGGACGGAGTTAGGTGGCTGAAAAGTTATTTAACATATCCTAGAGTCCGTAAAGATGCCTAAGGAATAGAGATCAAGTATCATGATACCAATCTATAAGAGCAAAGGTGATGCCCAAAGTTATAGAAACTATAGACAAATAAAGTTTTTTTTGAAAGAGATATAAAGAGATAAAGTTACTAAGTCATACCATGAAATTATAGGAGGAAATTCTAGAGGCTATGTAGTGTAATGTCACGATTGTTACTGAAAACCAATTTGGTTTCATACCCGGGAGATAGACGACTGAGGCAATCCACCTCCTTAAACATCTTATGGAGAAGTACAAAGAGAGAAATATGGATATCCATATAGTGTTTATCGACCTAGAGAAGGTGTATGATAGTATTTAACGAGAGGCAGTTCGGAGGAACTTGGAGGCTAGAGGGGTACCTAGGGCATATGCCATGGCTATTCACGATATGTATTACCAGTCTACAACATGTGTGAGGACCCTAGTTGGAGACACATAGTCATTACTGGTTGAAATCAGGTTTCATCATGGCTTCACTATCATCCCATACATCTTTTCCTTGATCTTGAACAAGATGTATCATGAGATCTAGGTGGAAGTTCCTTGGTATATGTTTTTTTATGATGACATTTTGTTGCTCGTCGAGTTGAGGGCTAAGTTGAATGCTCGATTGGATACATGGAGAGTGACTTTAGAAGAGAAAGGGTTACATATCAATACTAGACAACAAATATTATCTTTGGTGTAATTTTAGTAGGAGAAGAATGCCGAATGACTACATGTAAGTTTAGGGGAGCAAACTCTTAACCCAAAGGAGAGTTTCAAGTATCTAGGATCCATAATACATAAGGAAGGGGGAGTAGAGGTAGACGTAAACCATCGCATGAAGTCCGGTTGTTTATATAAAATAAATAAAAATTAGAGGGATGGAAATAGCAGATAAAACTACAAAAAAGGCTATATAAAAAAAGTTTAAGGGTAGGAAATATCAAATGAAACTATAATGGGTAAAAAATTGAAAAACAAAATTAGAAGATTGGATATGACAAGTAAAACTATAACCAACGTTAGTAATTAATACATATTTAATGTTTTTTTTCAAAAATGACATAAAAACCCTTAAGTTTTCCAAAAAAAATATCGGTTTTACCCTTGTTAGTGTTTTGGGGTTAATAAAGCCTGGCATTTTCATTAAAGGGTTCATTTAATGGGTTTGAGTATGTAAACAAGTGGTAATCAGTGATCTATAGCTATGTGGCATTTAACAGATGAGTTGGCAAACGAGGTAATTACTTTACGTTCATTTACATGGAGAAGCGAACCCATCACTTTACCATCACCTTTCACGTAAACGTACACCTTCACTCATAAACGCTTTGAAATCAAAAACATTCATCTCAAAGTAAGGGGGTTTTTAAGAAGATCAGGGTTCAATTTCATGGTAAAAGTGTTCTAAAAGGTGCAATTTGAGGTTATCAGAGAGTCGATTTCACTGTTTAAGTTGTTATAGTTCATCAGTAAATTTAGTTTGTCTTTTTTCTTCCTGAGAGGTGAATTTAATGTGTGTGGTTTTTCAAGTTGTTGTGATGGATTTGGATTCAACAGACAAAGGCAACACAATCCCATTTTTTTGGTTTACACGAGCCTTTCTCTGGTCTTAATGAGATGGATTTTGAGCTTCATGGAATCTACATGGATCATGAACCAGAGCAAGAGTTCGTTACTCAACTGGACAAGTGTAAGGGCATACTTCTTAATGTGATATTGACTGATGAAAATCTTAGAAACTCTAGTATGGCTGATAAAGTAAGAACACAAGTGTATCATGTGAATGGTTGGCAAAGTGATGAAGATGAGCAAGAACATGTGAAAAACAAGTAAATAATACATGATCCAAACACAAGATAGGACAAAATGGAACCAAATCTTGGTGACATTTTTTAGATTGTTACACAGCTAAAGTTTTGTATCCAAACTATGTTGTCCACAACGGGTATCAGTTTTACTTTGAAAAGTGTGATAGTAATAGAATAGTTGCAAGATGTGGGAAGAGGAATTAGAACAATGCTTGTCCTTTTAGACTGTATGCCTCTTGGATGTTCAATGAAAGATATTTTCAAATCAAGAGTTTAGAAGCTACTCATGTTTGTGGTAGGAAGTTTAAATTTGGCTCTATGGTTACTGATGGGTTTTGAGCACTACAACATTCCTATGGTGTAAATGCAACCTAATGCTTTGGATATAGGTTTTTCTCAAGTTATACATGCAAATAATAATCCAAATCATAAACCCTAAGACTAGCATGCTATGTTCGAAATTCATAACATAAACAAGATTTGAAGAATACCTTTCACTTGTAGCTAGTCGATCTTGACCTTCAAGAGCTTAGCACCTCAAATGTTGCACCTCAAATGAGTCACAAACACCAAGTAAAAATGGAAGAATATGAGAGAGAGGTGAGAGGCTCAAAATCGGCTAGGGTTCTCTATGAATGCATGGTTGCCGATTTTGGAGCCATGAGGTTCCTTTTATAGTTGAAGCTCCTAGGGTTTTCAACTTGGAAACTCTAATTCCCTTGCTTAGGCCCTAAGCAACATATGGACCTCTACATGAAAGCCTTTGGACGAAATCTTTATGGACTCTCATAGAGTTTTCGTCCACCACTTATCAATATGGTCCATTAGCCCAAACTACAACTATCACTGATTTACATAATCAGTCCCCGTTATTTTAATCAGTCTCTTTTGATCACTAAAATAATTTCAAATTAATTCTTGATCAATACTAATTAAATAATATGATTTCTCAATTAATATATTATTCTTATAATATATTAATAAATCATAATCAACCTCTTTCTCCATAATTCATCCTATCAAATTGTTATGGTGAAGGCAACCCAAAAGGACCATGCTACTATTGGATCAAGTACATACCAATTATAGTTATGGGCTTAGACATCTAATCCAACAATATCCCACTTGGATAAGTCTAATAACTATAACTGCAAGTACGACTTCAAAATCCGATTTAGCAATCGTAGCTCTCAAAAGTCGTTGTCGAACTCTGATCTTATCAGTAACGCGTCCTTTAGATAGGGGATCGTATATTCCTCCATTCTACAAGATATTGTGTGGACATGAGACATGGATTATAATTATTCTCTCTGTCCATGTGTTGTTTCCCGATTTCCGATTTATGACAACTGACTCAGACTACAATTGAACACATCAACTTAGTCCAGGCTTAGCCAAGCGCTTAGAGTGTCATCACTAAATCATCGAGGGGCCCACAGATATCGCTTTTATCCCATTTAGGGTAAAAGGAATGGATAAACTTCGACTCATATGCTTGTACTATTCACTCATCAAATCACACACAACAATACGTTTTATAACATCAAGTTACTGATGCGTTTACATATTATCAATGTGCAACCAACTTATAAACAACAACTCATATGTATCCGTTTCAAGAATATAAGATATTATCGTCTCACAATCACTCGTGATAAAATCCATGAAGTGATGCAAATGAGCGTGGGTTTAATCCAATACTCAAATCCTTATTTCATGAGTACTCATGAATACTGCTGCAAACATTTGCTATGTCTAACCACTTAGACAATCTACAGTCGGATTCATGACAGTCTTACCTCATTACTTACTTCCAAAGTATGATTGATTGTGGATGTTTGAATGATCTTATCATTCGGGAAGTAAACATGTGAAGTGAAACACAAGAAGAATCTAATCCAATATGGTCTCAAACTTTTGAATATAAATAAAAACACTTATTATTTAATCACCATATTAATTAGACCTTATTCATTGTATAATGTTTCAACTAATCAACTTAACACTTAAATTAAAACAAAAGTCATCCTATGCTCCAAGCATGCACACTATGTTTATCTGTGGTCCTTCCTTTGTGAAAAAAATCAATTGAGCACATATCCAATGATGCTCATTACATAACTCCCTATCCTTATCACAAGTGTAAGAATAAAAAATTATTACCATTACTAGAATCTTGTAAGATCTAAACTTATATGCAATGTTCCTTTTGTAATGTCAAGGCACCAAAGTCACATAGACTTTGCCAATGATATTACAAAGCATTCCACTGGAGATTTGTTACTAAAACAATTCCATGGAAGTGAAGTCTCACATTCAAAGCACATTCCTTTGAACATCCATATTGCATTAAAGTTTCTAACTTACACATAGATTTTTAATATCCACTCCCATAACGGAAACATTTCCACATTGCCATATGACTATCCATTCTAAACAGAATCCTATCTATTCATAATTATATCAAAATGGTCCATCCATTACTATACTTCCAACTGTTCCAAGCAACTAATATTTGGTAAACCTTGGATTGTCCTTGATAGTTGTTTAATAATTTTAGTCATATCAAGTTATGGTCCTTTTTTCCCTCTTAACGCGCTAGGCATTTGGAAAAATCAGAACAGGCAAATATTATAGCATATGCAATCGATCCTTTACCCGAAGCATATGGGATACGATTCATAATGTCTCACGTAAAAACATGATACTTGACCAGTCTCTTACTATAATATTTCCATATATAGAATTTCCAATGTTGAAACATTTCAACATTACATTCATATATTCTCATGACTAAGTTCCATTAAAATCTTAATCTAAGCTTTTAGATTCAAAATGAAGTATAAATATTCTCTCCCTTAAGTCTTTCTATAGCAAAACAACTTTCAAATTCTGCAACTTTGCAAATTTAGAACTTTGTTTCCTATAAATAGCATTGCTAACTCGCAACACACTCATCATAATGATTATGCTCCCACTAGCATAATAATTATGTTTTTACTAGCATAACGATTATGCTCCCACTAGCTTTGACATGTATCCAAAAAATCAGCTGGACTTCCAGAAATCAATAATTATTGACTTTCTTACTAAATTTTAGATTTCTGATACGTGGCACTTCGATAAGTCTTTACCTAGACTTCTGAAGCTCATACACCTTTCATTAGATAGCTTATGTGTGTGTCTAAACCTTTTCAGAACTTATAGCGATAAGTCCCAAATGTTCAAACTAATTGCCATTTCTCACAATTCGACTATGAAAAGGGATGCCGTAATCATACTCGAATTTGAGAACGCAATTATCACAACTGCTAACTTTAATCCTTTAAAATCTACTAGTGAAAGCGTTTCCTCACAATCATTTTCATGAAGTGGAGAGAAACCTCTTACCACTTAGATTCTATGGTGTATGTGTTCCTATCCATGTGAATTTGTCATTTCCAACCACTATCATAAGACAAGGTTCATGACAAATTCAAACTCATATGGACTGAACATGCTTAATCTCAATTTCTTGCCATCTGGCAGCTCAAGGGCCTACCATTACTTCCGAGTTGTTGACCAGCTCATCCACACTGATCATGTACTTTCACTGATCAAGGTGCTTTTCCTTATGAAATGAGAACTCGTAGAACTCACACGCATAGTCAACTTAACTGGAATAGGCATAGAAACAAGAATATGTCAACACGATAGTTTGTTAACCTCAGGTCGTGTGCTAGTGATAACTAAAAGGTTTATTCTTGATTAGTTCTTGAAACTATTCAAGACCATTAAGATTCTCACTGACCTCTTGACATATAAGATTCTCTATCAAGCAACATTCCTTGACAAACAAATATTTAAGAGTTAATGTGAATTCTTATCAAGATAACACTTCATGTAATTGGTCTTAGTTGGTCTTTGTTTTAGCCAAAACATCACAACTGCCAATTTCAAATGTGCAAGAGTAAGAAACATTTCTACTCCACATTTAATGAGGCGTTATAAACCTACTTAGAATATGTTACTCAAGGTACAACTTGAAGTAACCAGAGTATAACACTTAAACTCGACTTTGGAACGAAGTATGATTCATCCTTTTGATTTAACCATTTCAATAATTCCCGGTTCCTCTTCTTAGTCATGCATATGGACTAAGGTGTCTTTAGAGGATAAATTGTGACATGGTTCCATAATCATTAGGACGATCATAAAACACGATACTAAAGTACTCCCCTTTCCTTTCAGATTGGAGAAACCTTTATCTTTCTGCCAAATTCGATTCTTCTTATTCGTTCTGTTATACTTTGAAACTTTTTAAGGTATTAGAATTATACTTAATCTTGTAAGCATAACCATATTTACTGAACCATTAGTAAATCATGACGAATAGCCTTTATCATCCTTTGTGGTGGATCTGACCAGTGCATATCAATGTGTACTAGATCCTTTAGTCTTTCACTTGACTCACATACATATGTGAACAAGGAATTAGTCTTAATTTCCCAAGGATCAAAATTCTCATTCATCACACAATTCATATCGCATGATTCCAAGTCTCTGTCCAGTTGAAACTTGGGTGATGAGAATCTCTCCTTATTTGGTAAATTATGACACTACCACAAATGATATAACTAAGAATCAAATCCATTTTCAACATTGCTAACAAAAGAAATATAAACACCAATTTTCATAAATTCCATTGCAAGGAAACATAAATAAAATAAACAATTCATTTTATTGATAACGTGTGGAAAACTTGTCCTTACAATGCAAATTCAAATAAAAACTATGTTACTAAATATTTCTAAGCAATATATCATATCTCCAAGTAGCAGCTCAAAAATCCGATCATCGAACCATGTGATTGAAATCCATCTCTTCACGATCAGACTCAACTTACTTCTTTTTTTAAGCTTCCTTCCTTTTCTTCGATCCTACAAAAACATCAAAATGCAATCTTATCACATCATGTATTAACAATCTATAAATAGGAATTTAATAGAGTTAGACAGTGGATATACCTGAAGTAGAGTCATACAA